CTGCAGCAGAGAACTAAAATAAGGATCTATAAGTCTAATGTACGTTCTGTACTCCTCTATGCTGCAGAGTCATGGAAACTAAACAAGAAAGTAGACAGCTGACTCAGAGGCTTTGAAAGAAGATCCCTCCAACGCATCCTCAGGATAAAGTGGGACGACAAAGTCCCGAACAAGGAAATATGGCGAAGGACAGGATTAAACGACATTGTCTCAGAAGTTAGAACGAGGAGATGGAGATGGCTGGGCCATGTCCTACGCATGAGCAAAAAAAGACTCCCCAGCATGGCGCTGAAGTGGAACCCACCCGGAAAGAGAAGTAGAGGAAGACCACTGGGAACATGGAGGAGGGAGATGGAAGAAGAAGTACAGGCTACTGGCAAAACCTGGCATGAACTAAAGTGGCTCGCCCAGGACAGGGTGGAATGGCGGAGATTTGTTGTTGCCCTATACTTCACAGGGAGTGATGAGGATTAATGATGAATGAATGAAAGAGGGTAAGTGCCCTAAAATCCGTTTTGAAATGACCCTCTGTTTTCCCCGTAAAATACAAAGATTATATAGGGGAATACGACTGGTCAGTTTTGACCCACTTCCCGATTTTTCCCAGATATGCCGAGTTTTTTGTGACACCCCACGGTGTTCTCCTACCACCTCACAAAATTTCAACGGGGGTCGTCGGAGGAAATTATTTTTTTTTCGTAATATAGCTCATATAAAGAGAATTTCACTCGCGGTCACTTTTTAGCCCTCGTCGAGGGCTTTGAGTCAAACCGACAGTTTTACCTAAAGGTAAAGCCATTTACCTAAGAGTATGCAAAAAATTAGCCAGATATACTGAGTTTAAGTACCCTAAAATCCGCGTTGAAATGACCCTCTGTTTTTCCCATAAAATACAAAGATTATATAGGGAAATACAACTGGTCAGTTTTGACCCCTTTACGAAGTTTTCCCAGATATGCCGAGTTTTTTGTGACACCCCAAGGCGTTCTCCTACCACCTCACAAAATTTCAAGGGGGGTCGTCGGAGGAAATTTTTTTTCGTAATAGAGCTCATATAAAGAGAATTTCACTGGCGGTCACGTTTTAGCCCTCGTCGAGGGCTTTGAGTGAAACCGACATGTCTGCCCTACGGCCAAGCCATTTACCTATAAACATGCCAAAAATTAGCCAGATGTAAAGAGGGTAAGTGCCCTAAAATCCGTTTTGAAATGACCCTCTGTTTTTCCCATAAAGTACAAAGATTATATAGGGAAATACGACTGGTCAGTTTTGACCCATTTCCCAATTTTTCCCGGACATGGCGAGTTTTTTGTGACACCCCATCGCGTTTTCCTACCACCTCACAAAATGTCAAGGGGGGTCGTCGGAGGAAATTTTTTTTCGTAATATAGCCCATATAAGGCGCCGGTCAGCCGAGGTCAGTTTTGACCCCCTCTCCGTAGACTTTTCGGCCAACCGTCACCGGCCTTCGTGTTCTATCGCCCGAAGGCACCATCTTGCCAAATTTGACGCGCCTGCGGCGCCGGGAAGTGCCCTAATGGGCACTTGACCACTTTGCTTTATATATATAGACTAGGCATACTGCCTAGCTTCGCTTAGGTTTTTAAAAAACATTTGAGAATTTGAATACTTAATTATGTTGCGGTGGATTGGGTGTGGTGTGCTTTAATTCAAATTGTAATGCTAACTTTAGAAAAAATGTTGTTGTTTGTCATTTAAATTTCGTTCTCAGAGGAATAGTGGAAAGTACGTAATGTATAACTAAAATGGAATTAGAACTACACAGGTTCCATGAACAGTATATCTCATAATTTAGATTACATTGCCTTTTGAAATTAATTAATTTATTTAATTAGGATACTTAAATGCATTAACAACTTAATATTGTACTAAAACAAATGCTATACTTCGTCATTTTCTGTTTCTGTATAAAATAGTATAAAATTATTTGAAAAAAAAATTATTTAAAAAACGTTACCTCCCTTGAAAACTGAACGTATGACTATGTCTTTGTTTACTTTTTTTTTACAAACAGTTGCTATGCTTATATAAGAAATTACGGTATATGAACATATTTAACGACTATAATGGCTGTTTCCGACGGGAATAAAGTTTTTTTTGTTACCCTCCAGGGTCGGTCTACGACGTCACATAATATTAAGGGGATCGTTCGTCAATTTATATATATATGTATATATATATATATATATCTCATATAAGGAGAATTTCACACTCGATCATCTTTTAGCCCTCGTCGAGGGCTTTGAGTCGGACCAACAGTTTTTCCATACGGCCTAATCATCTATATTTGTGTATGCAAAAACTTAGCATGATGTGCAGACGTTAAGTAACCTAAAAATTGTGTTAAAATTTCTCGGTTTTTGCCATAAAATACAAAGATTATATAGGGAAATACAACTGGTCAGTTTTGACCCCTTTACGAAGTTTTCCCAGATATGCCGAGTTTTTTGTGACACCCCAAGGCGTTCTCCTACTACCTCACAAAATCTCAAGGGGGGTCGTCGGAGGAAAAAAAATTGCGTAATTGAGCTCATATAAAGAGAATTTCACTCGCGGTCACTTTTTAGCCCTCTTCGAGGGCTTTGAGTGAAACCGACAGATCAGCCGTACGGCCAAGCCATTTACCTATAAGCATGCCAAAACTTAGCCAGATGTAAAGAGGGTAAGTGCCCTAAAATCCGTTTTGAAATGACCCTCTGTTTTCCCCATAAAATACAAAGATTATATAGGGAAATACGACTGGTCAGTTTTGACCCACTTCCCGATTTTTCCCAGATATGCCGAGTTTTTTGTGACACCCAACGGTGTTCTCCTACCACCTCACAAAATTTCAACGGGGGTCGTCGGAGGAAATTTTTTTTTTTTCGTAATATAGCTCATATAAAGAGAATTTCACTCGCGGTCACTTTTTAGCCCTCGTCGAGGGCTTTGAATCAAACCGACAGTTTTCCCTAAAGGTCAAGCCATTTACCTAAGAGTATGCAAAAACTTAGCCAGATATACTGAGTTTAAGTACCCTGAAATCCGCGTTGAAATGACCCTCTGTTTTTCCCATAAAATACAAAGATTATATAGGGAAATACAACTGGTCAGTTTTGACCCCTTTACGAAGTTTTCCCAGATATGCCGAGTTTTTTGTGACACCCCAAGGTGTTCTCCTACCACCTCACAAAATTTCAAGGGGGGTCGTCGGAGGAAATTTTTTTTCGTAATAGAGCTCATATAAAGAGAATTTCACTGGCGGTCACGTTTTAGCCCTCGTCGGGGGCTTTGAGTGAAACTGACATGTCTGCCCTACGGCCAAGCCATTTACCTATAAGCATGCCAAAACTTAGCCAGATGTAAAGAGGGTAAGTGCCCTAAAATCCGTTTTGAAATGACAATCTGTTTTTCCAATAAAATACAAAGATTATATAGGGAAATACGACTGGTCAGTTTTGACCCACTTCCCGATTTTTCCCGGACATGGCGAGTTTTTTGTGACACCCCAAGGCGTTCTCCTACCACCTCACAAAATATCAAGGGGGGTCGTCGGAGGAAATTTTTTTTGTAATATAGCCCATATAAGGCGCCGGTCAGTCGAGGTCAGTTTTGACCCCCTCTCCGTCGACTTTTCGGCCAATCGTCACCGGCCCTCGTGTTCTATCTCCCCAAGGCACCATCGTGCCAAATTTGACGCGCCTGCGGCGCCGGGAAGTGCCCTATCGGGCACTTGACCACTTTGCTTTATATATATATATATATATATATATATATATATATATATATATATATATATATATATATTTATATATATATATATACATATATATATACATATATATATATATATATATATATATATATATATATATATATATATATATATATATATATATATATATATATACATATACATATACATATAGATATAGATATAGATATATATATATATATATATATATATATATATATATATATATATATATATATATATATATTTATATATATATATATATATATATATAAATACATGTGTGTGTGTGTATAAATATACTAGCTGCATAACCGTGGGTAAATCTTTTTTAAATATGCCAACTTGGGAACAGAACAAAACAAACACAACACAAACAAAACACAACCACAGCACAATCACAACATTAGAATTACCACACAACACGCTTTCCTAGGCGTCCCCTGCGTCCGCGCCCAGAAAGAGCCTTTCCAGCATTCTCTAAAAGTCTAATTTCACCATATGTTTTAATAACACCGAAAAACAAAAACAAAAAATAGTGATTTTGAGAAATCATAGACTAATTAGAAAATAATATAAATAATCTTAACATTTTTCTATTTTAATTTTGAACCATAACATATAATAATCAATGCCGGTAGTAATAAAAAAAAATTAACTTAAATTATTGATAAGTTAAATTTATTTTTAAATTACCTCCCTTGCAAAAATTACCCCAAAAAAGTTGAATTAATTAGTTTTTTCGACCTACTGTCATGAAAATGTATCCATTTTTTCAAGGAATATAAACGAAAATGATATTTGACATTGATTCTTTTAATATGTTTTAGCAATGTGTGTGAATTTAATATTTTCTTTACGTTATGCAAAAGAGTAAAAACCTTGGAAACTATAAATAACTTTATGTCGTTATATAAACAAACACTACTCTACTACCTATAATAAGACAACTGCGATGCACTGAAAAGCATTGCATGGTGCGATGTACATTAGATATCAAAGATATAAATGCAGCTGTTGGTATTACATTAGCCCTTCAGCCTCTCTCATTTTGTTATTGATTATTGATAAGCAGGTAAAAACAAAACATATTAAAAAATTAGAAAACTGATTTATAATTGTTTTTGATCCATGCAGAAAATTAGAAAAGTGATTTTTAATTGTTGTTGATCTTAAGTAAGAGGCAGTATGGAACTGAAACTAATTGATTTTTATTTTTAAAAAGTTAATCCTTTTTTTCCTTTAGAACTTTTCAAGAAGAGGAAAGACCAGCAGTAAAACCTAACAGTAGACGGCGTAAAAAATGTACTCTTCTGTGATATATTTATAAATATTCCATTGAATTTCATTTGTTATGTAATATTGTTAAATGGCTATGATTTTAAATTGTACTTTTAAATAGTTTTACATGCTACAAAACTAAGTTAAAATATAAATGGTGCATAATAGTTAAAAATGTGCGACAGTAATATTCATAATCTGCAGTTTCAATATTGCCACTAATTATAGTGTGTGTGTTTTTTGTTTGTTTTTTTTTTACTCTTTTTGGCAAAATTTATATTAATTTACACAATCAACAACAGAACTAAGTTATTATGTAAAATAAATTTTTACACTAGATGGTTAAGTTGCTTAAACTAAGGATTAATGGGAAATCGACTGTAAATATTTAAATTTAGCCTGTAGTTATTAATGGTCAATTAACCAATGTTTGAGTTTTATAATGATGATATCAAACACATTCAAAATACATATATTGTATATTTTGCTTTGTAATTTTTTTGTAAAAGTGGAATGTTATCCAGTATGTAAAAGGTTTTAGGTGCTTTGACCATATGTGTTTGACTACACCAGTACTTTGACTATAGGTTGTTATACTATAGGGCTTTGAACTTTGATGGTTTGACCACATCATGGCTTTGACCACAGCGGGGATTTGAGAACAGGGGCTTTGTCCATAGGTGGTTTGTCCACATGCAGTTTTTTTAAATAATAATAAACTTGTATTTAATTTTAAATTCATGATGCAATTAAAAATATAAATTTATATGACAAGTTTCTTTTGAGTTGCAATTAATAGAAATGAACATGTTCTTGAAAAAAGTCTATATCAGTCAAACCACCTATGTGCAAAAACCCTACGGTCAAAGCACCTGTGGTGCCACGTAAAACATACCTCTTTAAGATTTTATATTATAATTAATGGATATAAACTAAACTTCATTGAACATGACTTGAAAGCATTTTTGTGATATGATTAACTTTGTTGTATTTTTTTTCCCATAATACATAGGTAGACATCTAAACATTATAGTATAAAATTAGATGTTTTTCATTTATTAACTAATGGTCCATACATTTTAGAAAACTCAAAATATAGTCCAACCTAAATGTTTTAAGCACTTCATTCTTAGTAGTTTTTTCCTTTATGATTTGTATAATTTTTCTTTTTTTTTTTTTTTTTGTAAGTGATTAAGGGTATTTTTAATAGAAAAGCCTTTAATTATGTACACCATAAGATTTCTTAGCTTAAACTTAATTCAAAAAGTTATGTATAATAAGTCAATAGATTTGAAATTTAGAAAATTAGAATATGAGAAAAACTTATGATAAAACATAATTCTTTTATTTTTCATCACTGTTTAATTTTTAATGTATGAAAAATCAAATCAGAAACTTATTTTTATAGAAAGCATTTTTAAAAAGCAAAACAAAAATTGTTAGAAGTTGTAAATTACTATATTTGTAAAAGTGTATTTAATCATAATGCTTTTAGAGAGAATTACTTGACAAGAAAAAGTCTACTGCAATATGCTGTCTTTGCATAAGAAATATGTACCTCATCAAAAAATGCTTCTATTTTAAGAGGTACTAGGACATTACATCATCAGTTACCCCTCCCAACCTCCATCTAATTAGTACCTGACTGTGTCATAATAATCCCTAGATTAATTATTCCAGTCATATTGTTGACATTGCAATTATTCCTCTCTTGGGGGGCGTCCATAAATGACGTCACACTTTTAGGGGGGATGGGGGTCCGTAATGTTGTGACGGTGTGGGGGGAGGGGGGATTCAGATGGTGTGACATCAAACTTTTGCATTATAAAAAAGCAATGTTAGAAAATGAATTTTAGACGTTATTTCGTGTTTTAGAAAAGTTTTAATAAATTATAATAGGAGTTGATTAAAATACTCTATTTTGAGAAGGGCTGTAGGCTGATGTGTGACGTCATTTTAGGGGGGGTGGGGGGGGGGCTAGCTTTTTGTGACTGACGGAGGGGAGGGGGAAAGGTAAAAATCGTCCCAAAAAAGCGTGACGTCATGTATGGATGACCCCTTGAGAACAAGAAGAAAATATTTTAAACATTAAAAAAATGTGTAGCAATATAAAAATATATGGGAAAAAAGATTGTGAAATTTTGTCAAATCCTGGGATAAAAAAAATATGAAACTCTGATTTACATTTGTATTTGAATATTGTGTGCCTTCCTTAGTAGTTACTCCATGTGTTCTCTATTGACAAAAATATAGACAATGTCAATAATCTGAAAATACAAGTCACAGTATTTTGTTCTTTGTGTTTTCAAGTGAGTGTCCACCAAGCTACTGATTATCACCATCTGGAAACATTCTTTATATTACCAAATGTTTGGATGGCCAGCTTTCAATTTTCTTTGATAACCTTTACATTTACAGCTGTTGTCAACTGCTGTGTATGGTCTTTATGTGAGAGGTGTAAATGAGATTTGCCAAACAATAATATGAACTTCAGATAAATTAACCAGACATAAAACAAAAGCCTATAGAAAACAGTCACAAATTGAATATGTAAGAAGCTTTACCTCACTCCTTCACATCTCAGCACCTTACAATTATACATATCATTACACATGCACATCATGAAAATAAACCGGGAGTGATCTCCCCTAAACTTTCTCGAATATTCTTATGTTAAAATAACAGGGGATGGGAACTCGGGCTATAGACATGATTTTTAATCCATTTTAAATACTTAAAGTTTTAAAAATAGAATAAAATCTCGTAGACAAAAGAATTGCACACCAAGTAAACGCCAAATAAAAAAGTGCATAATAGTGCGCAATATTATTAGTACTTTATAAATTTACATGCGTTTTTTGAGAAATCGGAAATAGCGTAAATTAGTACTTCCGGTCAACGGAAATTACTCAAAATTTGACAGAAGGTAGAGAATTAGATCTTTTACTTACTTGTAAAATTTCATTTATCTATCTGAGATAGTACTCAATTTATAGGCTTTTGAAAAATTCAAAGTAGAAAAAGTACCACTTCCGGTTATCGGAAATTGCACAAAAGTTGATACGGATCTACGATTTTGATAAAATAGTTATATATGAAATTTCATCAACCTAGCTGTAACGGTACTCAAGTTATCATATTTACACACAGACAGACAGACATACGGACAAGATTGCAAAATTATGTTTTTCCGTATCAGTGAGATGTAAAACGATATATTTTTTGCACGATTACAAGACTTTCTCTATACTTCGTATAATCGAGAAAGTAAAAAAAAAAGAGTGTAGAGTTTGCTAGTAATGGGAGGAGGGTAGTGGTAATAAATGTGGGAAAAGGGAAGGTATGAAAAAATAGGTTGACAGTGTTCTACTTAAATTTTTGGGAAGAGGGGTGGGGGGCTGTTCTTCTTGCACATTTATTTTAAGCAGTTTAATTTCAAGAAGTTTTACAATTCAAGTAACAGAAGATTGTCCTAATAGTAAAGTCTAGAAAGAATGTTTGAATTTTGTTAAATCTATTTATAAAATTGAAAAAGTATAAACTGTCCTGTATGCTTATGATTATTGTATCTGTATAAATTTGTGGTGACTTTGATTAATTTGATTCATTATTTTCTTAAAACTTGTTTGTTAAATTTGTTGCTGTTTTAATTCAAATAATGCAACACAATTGCTAGTACCCAAATTTTACTTCAGAATATTACTATCTTGTTTTTACTTTGATAACGTAGTAACTAAAATTTTTCTAGTTAGATATTTTCATTTATTAACCAGATATCCTGTAAAGAAATCATGGTTTTGTTCATTGTTTGTGACTAGTTTGATTTATTAAGTTAACAATCAGCTAAAACAAATTGCATTTTATACTGAACACATAGTCACATCTTTTGTATCATGTTGATTTTGGTTTGTGCAATCAGCTATATTTTTCAATTGAGAATTTTTTCTTCTTTTTTTAATAACCAATAGTTTTAAAAATTTAGTTGCATTGTAGTACTTCAAAAGTGTTTATTTATTGACACAAAGAATTTAAATAGAAAAGAATTTATAGAGAAAGTAGAGTAAAAAGATTCAATTTCATAATTGGGAATCTAAGTGGAATTGTTTTAATATCTTTTGATGGATTTCTGCAATTTAAAAAAATAAGATAAAAATCTTTATTTCATTGTCATTTGTAGTGTTGCTTTCCTATAAAGTTTAATGTTATTGTAACAACTCTATTAAGATCAATTACGCCTGGTGTCTGCAATAAAAATGAATAGTTAAAGTGGCTATAAGGCAAAAAAAAGTAAGAATAAAGATGAAATTAACTTATTGCATAATTCATGGCATGAATATTATTACAAAAATTGCAATAGTCTATATTTTAGCTCCATCTGCATATGGCATGACTTCTGTAATTGGTCTGTAAAAATAACAAAAAGTAACATAATTTCTTTTGTATATTTTTTCAGTGGAAAAATTTTTTAATGTCAGTTTTCATTAAAATGATGGTAAACGAAAATAAGTTCAAAATAGTTCTAGTCAAGTTATAAAACTACAGACAAATTCAGGTAAAAAAAACTGTTAATCAACTGTTAAGCAATATTTTACTATGTATTTTTTTTTAAATTAATTTGCTGTGTCTTGTGTCTGCTTTAACTTTAAGGTTCACTCATAACATTGTCCTACTTATGCACTTAACATTTTTACCTACCCAAACACTTCTTTTGTTAACTTTTATTTTTTTTAACTATGAAATTTCCTCTTTGATCAGGGTTTCAAGGTTGGCGGTCATTAAGTTGATTTACTAAAAAAATTAGTTTACTTTAAAAAATGAATTCCATTTTGAAAAGTACACAGATATAACTTATATACAAAAGAATATTTTTTCCACAATACATTAAAAATAAAACTTCATGTATTGCCTAAAACTACACCCATAAATGCTATAACATTTCCTTGCCATCACCAAACTTTTGTTGTTTGCTTTTTATTTTTTCATGTCTTTAAGCTATGATTTTACACATGTATCTATAATACACTCACAAACACACACACACAGATATATATATATATATATATATATATATATATATATATATATATATATATATATATATATATATATATATATATATATATATATAATGTAAGCAGGCTGGTAGTGTGTCAGTCATTCAGTCAATGCTATAGATTTTGGAACCTTAAAAGTAAACTCTTCACTTTTTACTTGCATCGCAGTGTCTTATTACAAGTGATTGAGTAGGGTTTTTTTATATAAGGACTTAAATTTATTTTATAATTGCCACTGTTTTTACTCTTTCGCATAACGTAAAGAAAATATTAAATACACGCACATTGCTAAAACATATTAAAAGGATCAATGTCAAATATCATTTTCGTTTAGATTCCTAGAAAAACTGGATAGATTGTAATAATATAATTAGCAAGTGACGGAGTGGTCTAGCGGTAGAGAGCTGGACTGCCAACCCGTAAGTCTTGAGTTCGAATCCGGGTTGAGGTCAGAAGACCGTCCCTGTGTCTCCCCAACGTTAAGAAAAGTAAAGGCGGTTGAGCATAGTGCTGACCACACTATTGCTTCATATGCCGAGGTCACAGAAACAAGGGAACTCTACTTCACTTGCGTTTTCTTTTGTTTTCTTTTGTGTTGTGTTTAGTTTTGTTCTGTCCCCCCGCCCCCCCCCCCCCCCCCCTCGCTACGCCACTGATACGGACTTTTGTTGAAAATAATATGTAGATGTTTTAAATGTATAACCTAAATTTTATTTAAAGAAGAAAAATAAAAATATAGGCATATTCGAATGTATAAACACAATTTTAATTATACAATCGGAAAAGTGTTTATAGTTGTGACAAGAACGCCACATGATTACACTATGGAAAGAACACAACACTAATCGTGTCATATTCCGATTTTAGAATATAATATATAGAAATTAATTATTTAATTCAAATTTGATTTAGATCTAGATTCTATAAAGCTACGTACGTACGCTATGAAATATATACAATTTTCTGGGTCAAACTAATACAAATTTCTTTTTTTTAAAAAAACGTAATGACAATTGAATAGCCGGGTTTTTAACGGAATCATGTAAGTCTCTTAATCAGTGTGTGGATTTAATATGGTGTTCTG